CGCACTTCACCCTCGGAAGCAACCAAATCACCAGCTAGAAGATTCAACAACGTGGATTTTCCAGCTCCATTAGGCCCAACAATGGCAACCCGAGTCCCCATATCAATGCCAACATCAACATTTGATAGCCTGAAATCCTCCCTGTTAGGGTAGCTAAAGCTGACTTCAATAAGCTGCAGAAGTGGGGGTGTGAGCTCAGTAGGTTCAGGAAAGTGGAATTCCACGCTGTAATCCCTCCACTTCTGAGGTACCTCTGATGGGGCATCATCCTCATCAACCTTGCCCTTGCCTTTGCTTTTAGATGCTTCCTTAGCTGCGGCAAACTTAGCTCGATCCTTAACCTTTTCTTGCTGAGCCCGGCTTCCACTCCTTTTAGCTGCTTTCAACTGCTTGTCATAAATCTCATACTTCTTATTCATCTCTTTACGACGCTGCTCATACCCACTTTCAAAATCATCAAAATTTCCACGATAAAAATGAAGTTTCAAATCATGGAGATGAATAATCTCAGTACAAACTGTATTGAGAAAATCTCTATCGTGTGAGACAACCACCAAAGTTTTCTTCCAACGGCACAAATACTCTTCCAACCAGAGAACAGCCCTCAGGTCAAGATGATTTGTGGGTTCATCAAGCAATAATAGAGTTGGTTGAACAAAAAGTGCGCGGGCTAAGGAAATTCTCATTCTCCAGCCACCACTAAAGGATTTTGTAGGACGGCCTTGCATATTCTTTGTAAAACCCAAACCAGCTAATATCTTTGATGCCTGAGCTTCAGCAGCATCTGATCCCATCAACTGCAGCTTTTCATAAAGCTCTGCAAGCTTTTCTCCTATGTCGTCTTCTTCATCATTATCTTTGTCTACACTTTCTTCTACAGAAGCTGCATTCTGAAGAGAGGCAACCTCTTGGCGAATTTTAATGAGTTCTTCATTAGCTGAAACAACAGCTTCAAGAGCTGTTTTATCATCACCAATTACCTCCTGCTCAACCAGAAGGACATCAATATTCTTAGGTACTGGTATCTTCCTCCAGGCAAGAAGTTTCAGCAGTGTGGACTTGCCCATTCCATTGGGCCCAACCAAACCATACCTCTTCCCGTGAGATATCTTCACCGATGCATTCTTCAGAAGTTCTTTACCACGAGCAGAAACAGAGAAATTTTCTATTGTTATATCTTTCACATTAGCATCAGCATCAACATCTCCATCAAGCACTGAAGCCCGGCTACCAATGACCACAGTGAAAGCATCATGATCATCCTTAAGAGCTTCCCTCTTTGCCTGCTCAGCAGCATATGCTGCTAAAAGATCCTTCTTTTCACGCTTTTTCAACTCTTTCTCAGCAATAGGCACATCAAGAGGCTTCAAATCAGGCCTTTGTTGCTGACTCCCCCGTTTGGAAACATTATTTTGCTCCTCCTCCTGTTCCAAGAGATCATCATCTTCATCATCAGAAGGAGGAAGATCAATACCATCAGTGTATGCAGAAGCTTTTGGAGCAGATTTTGGCTTCGGTTTACTGGAGGTAGAAGAGATTTTTTTAGGTTTATCAGGCTTTTCATCCATACTGGCCAGCATGGCAGAGACAGAAAATTTTTCCTTCTTAGGAGCATCTTTACTAGGCTTGCTCTTCGCAGATGGGCCACCATCCTCTGTCTTTTTTCTTCCCATTGTAGAAGACTGGCACAAAAAGAAAACATTAATTTAAGTCATCTAACCTTACACGGTTACTGCTATGGGCTTTTCAAATAAAAGGGATAACTGAGCTAGTCAATAGTAAATGAGAACATATATCTTAAAATGACATTAATATATACTTTGCACATAAAATTTAGAATGATATATAATTTCACTCTGAGTACTTATTCTTGAACAAAGATTATACAACATATTTCAATCTACTTCCCTACAAATAACATAACTCAATTGTTTTCAACCTATCCATAACATGAGCTAACGGTTTCAATCCATTTCCCTAACAAATAACATGAGTTGATGATATTTATCGTATTTCATCTTTATAAATTGTAACTTATTAGATGCAAGAGTTGGGTATACCTGCACATCTATTTTCCGATATCAAAATGTAAAGGAAGTTATATCAAAGCTGACAAGAATTAGAACAATAGTATTCATATAAGAAAGGTTTCATAAATAAATTAGGAAATCCGATATATGAATTGTGTAGACAAATGTTAAAGGAGAAGCAAAAGACGATGGATAAGAAAACTGATGTGCCTAACTATCTATATATCTGGATTTCTTTAATTTCTCAAAAAAAATTTGCAATCAATCGAAATCGAATCTTATTGTAAGAAACTGGAAAGGAAGAGATAGATGAAAAGGGGAGGGCGATGCAGCAGATCACGGAAGCAAACAAAGATAAACTATGCAAGTTCGAAAATACGCAATAGAATTATAATCAAAATAAAGATTGAATACATGAAATTGAGTAGAGAGAAGAAAGAAAGTACAGGAATACCTTCAAACCTGATCTTTCAGCTGCGACGAAGTTGTGCACTGTCAAGTGGAGATAGGGTTTCAGTCCAAACAAGGATTTTGTTTTCACCTCCTTCTTTGTTTGTTTGTTTTTTTTTTTTTTTTTTTTTTTTTTTTTATACATCAATGTTGTAAATTATATTTTACACCAATAAAATGAATTTATCTTATTTTATTGATTTAGCGTATTCTTTTTTTCAATAAGAGTAACATAATAAAATATATCTTGTATTAACAAAATAATACTTACAATTTGTTTATAGTAACTAAATTTATTATTTATATCTTGATGATTATTTTAATCCATTGTTAAGTTATAAAAAAAAGACAATTAATCAATTTATTTTTTTAATAGAATATAATAATTTTATCATATTTTGTTGATCTATAGTATTTTTTTATAAAAAATTGAGCTAAAAATTATTATGTATATAAAGAGAGTTTATAAAATGCTAAAAATAAAAAAACATAGGACTATAAAAAGGATGGTACCCTTTAATTTAATTTATCTTACAATCAAATAAAAGTTTTGATGTTACATCCTCGTTTATATTTCAAATAAATTTAAAAAAATATAAAAAATGTAATTATAGTTTATCCTTATTTGATTATTAATCTTGTTTTTGCTATGTATCCATATTTTTATTAAATTTAATTTGATATATTTGTATAATTTTTTTTCATTCAAATATATTATTTTTAACATTTTGTATTAAAAATATTAGATCACTTATTTTAAAAAGTAAATATATAAAAAAATCAATTTTACAATTCAATAAATAAAATAAATTATTATATTAAAATATTAGATACATGTATATTTATATTTAAAAAAATACTTATTATATAAGGATATAATAAATCTATTTATTTAAAAGGCAGTATAATTCAGCCTAACTTAATTTTATGAATTAAGTAAAAAAAAATTGATAACTCAATTTAATCTCTACTTTAAAATAAATTATAATAATTAATCTAAACAAGTTAATTTTTACTTGATTAAAAATTAAAAATAAAATAAAAATAAAAATAAATAATAAAAAATATTTTTTAAAATTTAAATTATATTAAAAAAATTAATATTTATTTAATTATTTAATATATAGATGATAAAGAGAAGATTTATTCAATCTAAAATAAAGGTTTAAAACTTATTTTTATTATTTATTTTTATAATAATTTATTATTTTAAAAAATAATTAATATTTATTATTATATATTAAAAAAAGTTGTTATTAAAATAATACATAAATAAAATAATATTATTTTAATTTAATTTTAAAAATTATTAATATTTTATAAAACAAATCAATATATAAATCTACAAACTAACATTCTTGAAGTTCATATAAATGATGATATAAATAGACTTAATTTAATCTATGTTACCAATCTAATCTATTTTTCACATTTTTTTATTTATCGGACTAAACATATTTTTATACCCTAATTTTTATTACGAAATTTATTTTACTTCATTTATTTAAGTCCCTCAACTAACTTTAGTTTTTTTTAACATTTTTATCATAATCATTATAAGTACATAATAACAAAAAATATCAAAACGATTAATATATTAGTTATTTGAAAAAAAAATGGTGGTAAAGTTAAATATTTTTATAATTTGTAACAACTAATTAAAATTCACCTTTTAATTTTTATATGTATTCTAGTGGAACACACTGATTTTTATGGCGTTTTTGTAATGTTTTTCTCATAATCTTAACTTGTTTTTACGATAATAAAACCTACTTAGCTGTGCATAAGATTAAAGTTTTATATTTGGTTCCCCTGCCTCTTTTATTTTGAGTTCACCGTCACTTGATCGAACGTAAAAAAAAAATCATAAAATTGAATAATTGTTAGACTTTTAAATAAATAAATGAAAAAACCTAAACTTTTCATCTGAAATTCTTAATTTGGATTACTTTCTTAATTTGAAAAAAAAAAGAAGTGAAATATGAACATGCAATTTGAATTGTGGAAAATAATATATTATTTATTATTATTATTATTGGGAAACGAAAGATATAGAGGAGAGAGATTGAGATGCAAAAAATTAAGGATAGCCAACCGTTAACCGGCAACGAGCGAAAACGGTGGGTTTTGGAAGTTAGAGTTTGTTGGTTTAGTTTTTCTGTGTCGCCTTCCTTCGCTTATTATTCATTCAACTTTAACTTCTCTGGGAACCCAAACCACTCCAATCCGAAGCCCGAATCTGTTTAAGCATACTTACTGCGACCAAAGGAAGGGCGGTTTTCCGATTTCTCGGAAATCGCTCGACCTTATCAACGACTTTACTTGATAGATAGAAGAAGAAAAAGGTTCTTGGATGAACAACATATATTATACTTATATACTATATAAATGCTTGAACTTTTTGTCTGTCCGTGGAATGTGCATGTGAATTGTAGTTAGGCATAGGCAATGCCCGTCCTTGGATTAGATTTGTACACATAATTATTGTGGGTGGCTGCAAGAACAAGAAGAAGACACATAATGGGTGCCAGACGCCAACGGGGGTGGCCAAAACCCAGAGGATGGGTTAAGGGAAAACTGGTTGGATGTGGATCATTCGGCACTGTCCATTTGGCGATGAACAAATCCACCGGTGGCCTTTTTGTGGTCAAATCATCACATTCCGGGGTTGGACGCGAGGCTTTGGATAAAGAGGTGAAAATCCTCAACACGTTTAATTCTTCTCCATACATTGTTCAATGTTTGGGGACAGAGGAGGAACAAGGCAAACTGAATGTGTTTATGGAGTACATGGCAGGAGGTAGTTTGGCAGATGTGGCACACAAGTTCGGTGGGTCATTGGATGAAGAGGTGGTTCGTGTTTATACCAGGGAAATTCTTCACGGCCTAAACCATCTTCACCAGCATGGAATTGTGCACTGCGATCTCAAGTGCAGGAACGTGCTTCTGGGTCCCTCTGGCAACGTCAAGCTGGCAGACTTTGGATGTGCGAAAAGGGTATCGGACTTGTCAAAGTCCAGTGGTGGGACTCCTCTGTGGATGGCTCCTGAAGTGCTGAGGAACGAGTCTGTGGATTTTGGTGCGGATATATGGTCCTTGGGATGTACTGTTATCGAGATGGCCACTGGCACTCCTCCTTGGGCTCATGATGTTTCAAACCCCGTCAGTGCTGTGCTGAAGATTGCCCATGGTGATGCTATACCTCCGTTTCCACCCCATTTCTCTAAGGAGGGCTTGGATTTCTTGAGCAAGTGCTTGCAGAGAGACCCCAGTAAGAGGTCTACTGCTGAGCAGTTACTTAACCATCCCTTTGTTACCTCAACACCTTCTCACCAACGTAATGCTTCCTCACCCGCAAGTGTCTTGGATGTTCATAATTTCAAAGACACCTGTGATATTGATGAATTCGAAACTTCCGAGGGGAATGATTTCTCAATCACAAACACATTTGCATCTTACAACAGTGACGACCCCAAAGGAGTTGCAGTATGTAAAGTGGAAGACAGTGCTTTGGGCTCATCAGGGAATTGGATTACTGTTAGAACATGCTGAAACATTGATGATAGAATTGTTAATTTTAGATAGACAATTTCAAATGTACAGCTTTGTGTAGGAGACGAATAGTTTGTCAAATTTCAATGGCTTTCCTTTGCATTTTCGCACAACTTTTGTATCCAAAGGAGTAGTACTGTATAACCACAAATTTGTTATTAAAGCCGTCTCGTGTGCCATAGATTGTGCAAGACTCCTACATGATGCATTTAATTTTTTATTCATAATCAAAAACGAAAAACTGTTTGAGATTAATGAACATAGGCCTACTTCTAATTTTTCTAAAAATGCCATTTTCATTCGAAAAATGAAAATACTGCATACCTCTAAATGATTCTTATTACAGTCTTGGGGTTGCGTTGTATATGTTTTCGAAGGTGGGAATTTCGTTCTTATTAAGAATACACACATACATATTTATATATATATATATATATATATATATATATATATATATATATGTAATTTAAATTAGAAAATAGTAATTACAAAGCTAGTACAAGAATTATGTCCATTTTTCTTTTAATGTTGATTATTTCTATTTTGAACAAAGTATTAGTCAACTATGCATCTGTCATGTTACAAATTAAATCCCCTTTTCTTCTCTTTGAAATAAAGTAAATACAACGTGCTTTTTGAATCATTAGTTTTCATTCCTTCGGGTATCATCCCCATTTTTAAAATTTTGCATCACTACAAAGAAAGAGAAATCAAACTTGCCGCATTCTCTTACAATCTTTGAAATCTCCGTTACAAACGACTTTTCCTCTAATTTTTTTAAATATGGCAGAGATATATTGCAAATACAAATGCGTATTAACAAATTTACTATACATTTGTACAAAATAGAATTATTGCCATTCACTTAACTACGCGTTTACCAATCTACAGAATTTTCACTGCAGAAGTTGAAGTTAATCGACACCTTCTAACCCCCTTCAAATAGTTTCAACCTTGCTTGAGAAAACCAATAAATACGCTTTCTCATAAACAGTTTGGTAACAAACATTCATTGAACTAGAGTTGCCAACTCAACCATATCTTGCATCCTGGGGTCAAATATTCCTATTAATGGAAGAAATATCTCGGCCACCTTGTAATGAAATTGGATGCTCTCTTATGCGAGAGAGAAGTATGGACACTTGTTCGGTTGCAATATCTAACCGTTCTTTAGATTTAGCAGATTCCGTCATCAGAGATGAAACCATGTTTTGTAATAACTTAACTCTTTCAGCATGATCGTTTGGTGCACTTAGAAGAAGCTTAGAAGAGGGCATGCTGATACGACGCCATCGAATGGGAAGATATCTATCTGGGATCTGAAAGCAATTTCCTGTTGAAAGAACTCTAAGAGAATGCCGACAAAGAATACCAGTGAACTCAAACTGATGGCAGCTACAACTTATAATTCCTTCTTGAGGGACCCAATAAACTTTCCGACCTCCCTCAGCTTTCGTGTGGTGCCTCACAAGAAAACCATCTTCAATTGAAAAAGAAGCATAATGTGCAGCCAGCACAAGTTGTTCTTGAAGCTTCGAAAAGGCAAAAGGAGTGAGGATTGTGGCAGCGTGTGATTCCATGGGGGCCCCTGTTTTGAGGCAAACATTTTGGAGATTCTGCTGCATGGTTTGTTGTTCTCCAGTTTGATCTTTAAAATCCACAGCAACCGCTACCTGATTGTGCAAAACCCAAGTTAACATATAGATAATGATCTTTCACTACAACATTGGATAAAACCAAATCTACAAATACTCATTGAAACCAATATAGCAATATTCAAACCAGTAGAGACAAAGATATAATACCTGTTCAACAAAGTGTGCAAGGCGTGTTTGCGCACTCAGAAATCGTTGAATGAAAGCATTGATTGGCTTTGACTGACCAGTTGAAGTCATTCCAGCAAGAAAATGGCTTCTCAAAAATGGCAACGCCCAAAGAGAGCGGGAACTATATAAATTAACCATGTGCCGATTGGAATGCAGCCCAAAAGAACAAACCATTTCTCTCCAGCCAAGTTCAAAATCCTCAACTGACTCAAGATTATAAAGTCTATAAAATTCAGCCTTCCACTCATTGTAACGTTCCCCTAGAACAGCATTAAACCAGGATGGAAACTTGGCTACTATCATCCATATGCAGAAAGCATGTTTTGTTGTAGGAATTTCTGTGGATAGTGCTTCTTTGAGACATATATTTTGGTCGGTCAATATAGTCTGCGGAGGCTTCCCATTCATGAACCCTAAGAAAGCCTTCCAGGAAGGTGATTTATAGAAAGACGAAACACGAAAGGAACAGCAGTGTAAATTAAAGAGATGAGGAACTTCTCATAAATTAATGTAGACTCCACAAGTAAAAAGTAAAAGAAAGAAATTTTCAACCACAATTATGTCCATAGTGAAAGAAGTGAAAAGAAAACAGGACTATTATAAGGCGCTACCAAGCACATCTACCAATGCGTAGGCTATTCAAGAAGAAAGGTTTAGCAGTGGAAGTGATTTAATTGGCATCCACTCATTACCACATGCACATAAGTATATCCTAGAATCCGCTGTATTGTTCATGGCTTCAATATAAAATTTGTTGCCCTTCCATTTTGCTTATTTTCATTAATTCAGACCAGTGTGTAAAAAATTCAAGAGCAAACAACACAGTTAGAATAAAAAGCCAAATAATATTAATATTGATATTTTCATCAAAGTACCTTTAGTGCCCATGAAAATGACCTCACGGTTTCATCCCGTAGAAGTGTGCAGCCAAAAAAGCAAGGCATTCCATAATTATTTATTCCAACCCATATCCCTAGCGGCATGTCAAATGCAGTTAGGCGGTGTGTTGTATCGAACACCACCGTGTCACCAAATATATCATACAATTGGATTGATGAAGCATATGACCAAGCAATATTCTCCAAACGGTTGTTTGCATCAAGTGTGTACTCAAATTTAAAATTAGGATCTTTCTCCTTAATATTTCTGCACATTCTTAATAAATCTAAGCTTTCTTCTTCTGGATCTAATTTCCTAAATGACTGGAGTAAATTCCTTACGTCTTTCTCAGTAAAAGGCAAATATCCAGGTTCCACACACTTCTCAAGCTCCATAAGCCTCATCATTTGATGAACAGATATTCCTGTTTTGGCAAACATCAGTATCCGGTTTTTGTCAGCATCTGAGATAGTTCTGTATGCAGGGAGAAATCGAACTTGGTTTGGTTCTAAAAGTTCATGATTATGGTGGTTAGCAAAACCAGTCACACGCCATTCTGGAGCTCCAAATTCTGTTGTCTTGCTAATCCGCATGTAAGCCTGACACCCACAGCGGGAAGACTTTCTGTTTCTTTGAGGTTTACTTTCAGTTGATGTTTTGACAGGAGTGTTGCCAGCACGGTGACAAACAAAGTAGCGCCTAGTAAGTCCTTTTCCAACACCATCTTTACCTTCTGTTCGGTGTCGTCGAATTGAGAAGCCACTCCTTTTGGCAAATTCACTATAGAATTCATAAGCAGCATCATGAGTGGCAAACCTTTGACCAATGTATGGAATAACATCATGTGTTGTTTCCAAGGAGAGCCTGGTTTCATCAGGTGACTCTTCAGTGCTGCTTGCATCGTCCAAAGATAGTGAGCGTTGGTCGGAGGGGTCATCATAAACTACCAACATAGATCCAGCCTCTTCCGACATGATATATTTTTCCAGTGACAAGATTAAGATATCCTATGGCCTGTACCCAATCTTTTATGGGGGGAAACAAAAGTGAAAATAATCAGCACGACCAGATAGATAAAGATATAGAGAACATTATAAGTTAACAATTTGGAAAATCAGTAAGGAACAGACTAATTTTTTATTGTGTCAAATAGTAGAAAATAATCACTTAAAATAATATCACCATCACACACAAAATGTGCATCATTAAATCATGCAATGAGTTTTTCCTTTTTTCCTATGCTTGGTAAACAGAGGACAGTCGTGCGGATTAAAAAGGCAACTAGAGGTGTCAAATGGGCTAGACCTCGCCCATGCAAGCTAGGGTCAAATGGCTCACAATAAAAAAAATATCCACAGGCCAAAAAGGTGCTAGGGTGAGTGGACTCCGAATAGTCCATTGCCCAGCTAACTTTTAGAAAACACAACTGGACCCACTTTCAAATGGAATGGCCCTAGTTCACCCCAAGGGTCAGCTCACTGCAAGAAAACACAATTATATATACACTAAAAAAAAAGGGGAGGGAGAACTAGTCTTAAACACTTTACTAATAACATAAATCAAACAGCTGAAAATTAACATAAATCAAATTCTCATACAATTGAAATGAACTAAGCTTACAAAAAGTGATCCAGTGGTTCCATGCTGTGCTTAACCAGTACATTAAGAGGTAAAAGAGATTTCTTACTATAATCCAATTATAATGTGCATTAAACCATTTCAACAGAATTTAAATTTTGAGATGAAAATCAAAGGGAAATGAAAACTTACGGACAGGGAATGTTGCTCAAAGTGTCCTCTTGCTACTAAACAATGCTCATATGAGCTTAAGTAACTTCATTCTCACCTGTACGCAACAGTTAATTATATATAAGCTAAGGATCTGTGTAATTTAACATTGAAAGGCTAAACTAACAGATCTGATGAGACCCAATAAGCAGTATTGCTATATCTAAGAGGTTTAGTGCCATGTTTCCGGCTTAGAGCAATCAAGTCAGCTAGCAACCAATATGTTCAGATAGAGTTGCTCAAGTACAAATCTCACTAATAACATCTTTCAAATATAATGTACTATATAAACTTACATTCTTAAGTTAGTCAAAGAACATGCCTCAAGATATAAAACATAAACTCAATGAAAATCTTATGTAGAAACAAATGCAACCATTTAATATTAATTTCAGCATCTTATATCTTGTCAGGATAAAGATTACATTTAATTCTAATAAATAATGATAGTGCGAATTCCACAATGCTTATGTTACATAATTGTTCAGAGAACTCTGATTATCAGAAAGCTAGAAAAGATCATTGTTCAATTTACAGACATACAGGCACATAAAATTGGAATATCAAAGGTCAAAAGTTTAGAAAGGATAAACCTATGATTAAGGGTCAGCACATCTAAGCTGATAATCAGCCAACTTTTAGAAACCATACAAATGGTTCAGTAACATTTACATATCACTCAAATCAATAATAGTTTTACAAGATAAGAAACTGAAGCTTTCAGCCCAGTTGCTTCAGTAGAAATAACAGAAGGCTAGTATAAATTAGCTGGTACATAGCCAATGCAGCTGCAATGTCATAAGACGATGGATTTGTTCTGACAATAAGCATTTCCCTTACATACCCCACTTTATGTTTTGTTGTCTTCCTTCCTTACTATATGAGAGATATCATGTCAATTTTACTTCTTTTAAATGAGTCATATCTACTTGACAAATTTGAAAAAATTCAATGTTCATACTGAATGCTAGTTGATGCTAGTGATTACTAAACCAGAAGATCAGAGTTGCCAGAAAAAATTCTTCATGACTATTTCTCTAAATTTGTATCCAACAATCCAAATTGAGGAGATGTGGTAACCGGCAATTCAGTTACTTGCATCAACCCAGGAAAACAGATATTTACACATACAACAGTGTAGTTGTTCAGCCAATTTGTTACCAAAACTCTATTTTTATACTGACCTGTATGATTAGTATCTAATCTAACCCCATAAAGCAGAGCAAATAAATTTTCTGTTTCACAGAATGGTGCCACGTAAAGCTTCTCTAACAATATTAGCATAATAAAATCATTACCCCAAAACCAAGTTGACCAGTTGTGCAATAAATCTACCAATCACATTAGCAGTTAAAACAGAATATTTCCTCCTTGAACCATGGAAAGGAAAAGAGTAGGTCCAGTGAAACAAAAAATTGATAGAAGTCATCAAACATTTTATTCCACCTCACCAAATGAAAACAAATGAACTGACCTACAAAATAATAAAGCAAAAATACACAATAGAATCAAATTTTCCAAGATGCATGACACGAACACAATAGAACAAACATTATGGCTTCCACCATGGAGATCCTATGTACAAAAGTTTACAAGTTTCACAGAGAAGACAATCCCCCGAGAGAAAGAAACCATGTTTTCCTTCTAAAAATTGTATAATATGAATTTGTTTTACTTATCTCTCTATAATATCAAATGCAAATACCTTTTTTATTAAATTATATCTCACCTTCACTTATATCTCAAGGTTCTACTCTCATTGAGGCAGTAGTAAACACTTAGAGTCAAATCTACACCTTTCAATCATGAAAAAAAAAATAATAATAATAGACTTTTTTCTTATTCTTTCAACTATTATGCTAAGTTACTCCCATTAGGATTTTTCTTTATCAACCATGATACTTTCCTTTGATACTTGGTGTTGTCTACCAAGGTCCAATCTAAGATTACTAGTACTCTAGGATATCTTTAAAATTTACTTTAACATAGAAGGTCTCTAGTAATACTTAGGCTAGAATCTACAACTTTTGATCATTAAAAAATAATGGGTTTATTTTTATTCTTGCAACTATCTTATTTACTCTCATTATCAGTTTAGGATTTTTTTCTCAACCATGGTATTTTCCTTTGACACTTAGAGTTGCCTGCTGAAGTCAAATCTAAGATTACCAGTGCTCTAGGATATCCTTAATATTTACTTTAACTTACACAAAATTATTTCTCTTACTACTAGAGTCATGCATTCCTCCACATTGACTAGTCCCAAATAGGACTCAATATATACCTATTCTAGATATATCTTACACCCTTAAGGTAACATAACGCATTCATTAATACTGTACATACATTGCATGCAACTCCTAGTAATAGACATGCATCTCATCAATTCCAATGGCAGTCATCAAAACAATTCTCACACATATAGAGCACAACAACAATCACAAACAATTCACACAGGTGCAATACAATACACTTCTGCATCCACATCACAAATCACGTAAGTCAAACACACTCACAAAAATGCAATACAATATACTTGTCTTCTATTCTCATATGAATGTGGTAAAATTCAAAACACTTGAAGAAGATGCTTGGAATAACATGCAGTCAAAGAATTTAACACTTGTGGTACCAATAGTTTAACACTTGGCGGTAGCTATGGCGTTCCAGAGGAATAAAAAATGTTCTTTAATGTTTAAAATGAATAGGAATGTTTTAGTCAATGAAGAGGTATCAAATTACTCCATTAATAACTCTGTAAGTGTTAACCCTCATTTTCACCCTTCATTTTCTCCTAACCTAACCGTTATAAAGTTGAGCTACTTAAAATCAGTAGATTCAGAGGAAATTGCGGATGAGAATGATAAGTAACTACATTTAAGTTCCTCTTTGGGTAACTTGATCCCTCCTATATCTATATATCTATATGACATCCCTAGACTAAAAGTGCGATTCGCTGAACAATTAGTTAGTGCCACCGTATAGTCTATATGGGAAATTCGGACCTACAGAAATAATGTGAACTGAAAGGGTTTTCAGAAAAAGGACAGTTATTAAAATACGGTTCAATATCCCCTGAAGCCCAATTAAGTGGATGAAGTACCCAACTGACTTCGAATTAACTTGGGGGAAATCATACAACTCCATCCTCTTATACACGAATTTTGGAGCTAAAATGCTTGAAATTCTAACAAGTCTAAAGTACATGAAGAGATAAACGCTCAGCAAGAGATAGCTTAGAAAGAGCGAACATGGAAAAATGAGAACCACAAAGACGGAAAATGGTAGAACTATTAATTAACATTACAATTCTAGGTTAAGCTTCATAACCCTTTTTCCTACGGAGTGTGAAGGCCCACATAATTGAGGAAAATAGTACTACGTGGTGAAGATTTTGGCGTAAGAAAATACACTTGCGATGTAACAAAAAACATTAAAAATAAAAGTTGGAATGATTCTGTATCCAATGATGGAATCATTTTAGTGAAAGGACACAAGATTTGATAAAGAAAAGAGAGAATGAAAATGTGAGGAAAGCAAGAAAAAAATGAGGTTAGGGTAAAGCAAAAAAGTGGAAGAAAGAGGAACGTACAGTAAAGGGAAGGAGCGAGAATCAGAGTGATGGAGGAAGGCGGGCCGTTGAAACAGAATTGAGTTGTTGGATCGTTGAGATGGCAGGTCAGGTCATGTATCGATCGAGAGAGAAAGTACAACGACGACGACGAAGAAAAAGAAGAAAAGAAAAATGAATGGGAAGCTCGAAACAGTCTCAGATATGGCCACCGGGCACGCCACACAGAGGGAGGTTCTCTAGGGTACACGTACACTCTCCAACCTTTTTCTATTTTTGAAACATCTTTTCAAATCTTTTCAAAATATAATGAATAAAAAACTTTCTCAGAAACTTTCAAAATATAAATAAAACTCCAAAACAGAAAAACTTGTAAACACAGACATTAAAAGAAAACTTAAACCTATGACTACTTGCTGCATTTATCAGTTACAAAAATTTACTAAAAATATAATAATATTATAATATAAATAGTATAATTTTTATCTTATTAAATTAATTTTATATAATTAAGTTATGTATCTTATTATTTTAAGAATAATATAATAATTAACTCTAAAAATATTAAAATATTAACTATTAATAATAATAAACTTAATTACCTATTATTATCTAACATGAAGATATGATAAAATAAAATTCACCTATTAAATGTATGTTAAGAAATCTTCATGAATATAATCATGTTCATACTAATAAATCTTTTATAATTAAATTAAATATCTTATAATTTTTAACATTAAATTTATCATATTTTTATTTATTTTAAAAATACTATTTTTGTAAAAGATAAGAGAATAGATTAAAAATGTCAACCTAAATTATTTAATGAAAACAAAACATTGTGATGTGTGTACCTGTCCTTAAAGCCCGTGCCACCTTTTTTTATAGTTTTGATCAATCATGTAACAACTACATCTTTCACTACAAAACTACTATAAATTATGTTGTATTGAAAGGAACAAGTCACCAACATTATCCCATTCACATGATTTAATGTGATTAGTTTACATAAAATTACTTTTCTTTATATTAATCCATGTATGTTTTTTATTCTTCTATTTAATCTGTAATTAGATTAATGATAAAAATAATACAATAAATCTTTCTTAAATGACTTTTGAAACGTGGTTCCTTTTTCTCTTTAATGCATTCTTCAATACGTCTTTATCAGCTGCTCCTATTTAAAACAAACATTAATTGTAGATAAGTTATTTTTATTTCAATTATTTTATAGTAGGTTATATTGTTCAACAATTTTTTTCATACGTTTTAAGGTAATTACTTTTAATTTGTTTATAATAAAGCTTTGTCAGATTTATTTTGATGAAGTTTTCATATATTTTTCTAAAGACAATATAGATAATATGTGGAACAGTAAATTTGTTTTAGTCATTTTTTAGAAGGTTCATTCCAAATAATGAGAGGATAATTAAACTCAAATAAAATTGGAAAAATTTGTTCAAAACCAGTAAAATCAAGAAATTAGTGGGATTTTGATTCTAACCCATTTTTAAAAAAATATTATAAAATATATAATACATTTTTTATTAATTTATATTAATTTTAAATGATATTATAATATATCAATAATTTTTGCTTTTTTATAAAAATGTTAATATTAATAAATTTATTATATTATAAAAATATTATTTTATTAAATTTGAATAAACCCGTTTTTTAAACAGTGAACGCATATATTTATCCATTCAGCGACCGATTTTAAAAAGATTGGATTTTAGTTTTATGTTTGAGCGTGACCAAGTAAGTAGAATACAATTATACAACGTTTGGCTGGTTTCTTACATGACACTGATTCTTAGTTTGTTTATTTGTTTGATACGTCTTGCATTGCGGTGCCAGAGAGACCTCTTTATTCCGTCTTCGCTTCTTTTCTCCCTTTCTTTCTCCAACCAACTTTCTCTTCTCCTATTCCTTCCTTTCCAATTGTTCCTTCTTCTTCTTCTTTTCTCCTTTTATTCTTTCAACCAACATTCATTCAGCGACAGAACTACACATACATAAAAGTTATACCCCTTTCTGCTATAGCTCGCTCCAACAACTCAAAATACAACACAACTTACAACAATGAAGTCTTTCGATTCTGTAACTGTGAGCTTCCTTCCTCTCACTCTCACTTTCTTCACTAATTTTAGCCTGCCTTTTTTTTTTTTTTTTGCTGGTCAACTTATGACTTACCTTTTCAGCTTCCTCTCTGCTCAAAATCTATGATCCCCATGTCATTCCTTTATTATGTTACTCATTTTCACTCACTCTATTATCTGTATTTTGTTTTCGATGTTCACTTGAAAGTTTTTTTGCATCCCTTGCTTAAATTCTGTGATTTCTTTGCTCTGTTCGCGGTACTCAGGATGGGATTATCTGATGATAGCCTTTCTAAAGATTCTTTAACATTTTATTGAACTGTAATCATTTCCCCTGTTGTTATTGTTATAACCCGATGTCTTTGCCAGGGTCTTGCATTGCCAGAACCCAAAAATAGGTTGCTCCTCTGGAGTGTCCTTGTCGTGGTTTCTTTGATTTCTGGTGCTTATTTCGTTGGTAATGCCTTTTTTGCGAATGAATACAAACAGGTATGTATTATTATATTTCTACCCCCCAAGTTATACTTTAAGTTACTATACTTGGGAAATTAGGATTTTTACTCGAAATTTTCTTGTATTGTTGCTACTCCAATTTTTTCTATCTTTAAAAGAAATTTTTATTAGCAATATTGATACATATGTCTGAGAATTTGGAAAGGTATACTGTATGCATGCCAACTTTGTTGATTTTCACTATGAATAAGGCTTCAAAACTGTTACTTTAGTAAAGTGGTGTGAAAAACATAATGCTTCATGGTATTTGTTCATTTGAGCATTGGCAAGATGTGTCGTATGTTCTGGCTAGTGTTTGCCGCTCGCAATTGATTTAACTATTCACAAACTTGGGCTTTCTGACAAGGTTTTATTCCTGTCAGAAGAAAAAAAAAAACAACTACTGGTAAGAATTCCCCTTCCTCCTTGAAATTGTTTTGAAAAACTAAGGAATTACATATATAGGAATTATACCTAGATGTAGTCATTTATGTGAGTGTTTGGCCTTCAAGGTGCTTGCGAATTGACTTAAAAATTCCACCCCTTCCAACATAAATTTGATCGCCATTTGTTGCATCTCTTTTAGCTTGGAGGAATAATCTAATTTAGGATGGAGAAATGGAAGAAACAAACTCTATGCAACATTTTCTATTAAAGGGTAAATTTTATGTGGGTGTGAAAAACACCTGGGCTCACACACTATTCAATGGGATCCACATAAAATTTGCTAGCAATAGAGAGCTTATAACAAGAGCACGCAAAGAGTGTTGGTAGCACTAAACTTTTAGGCTCTAATGGTTTGTACCTATAGTTGAATTTTAGGTACTCTTGTTTTTATTTTCTGTAATTGAAAATTCAGTTTTACCTACTTGAAAAATAATTTTGGAGACTAATATATGCTTTACTTGAAAATATATGCAGAGATTAGCACGATGGGGACTAATTCATACAATATCAAATTCAGAATCAAATGCTTGCAAGGTTTGTTATTTTGGAGAGGAAAATTATTTTTTATAGCTTGTAAGCTCTATCTTTATGGAACTTCCTCTAATGCTCTTCATTTTTTCATTTTCCTAGAGACAATGCTTGCCTTTTGGAACTGAGGCATTGCCTGAAGGAATTATTGCTAGAACATCAAACTTAGAAATGCGGCCCTTATGGGACTCTGGTAAAGATCATGTATGTGAATGTGTGCTGAATTCTAAACCTTCATTTATTGCATAGAAATTCAGTTAAGCCTCTTATTATGTTAATCCTAAGCTTAACATGATAAAATGTTGCTAATCAAAGTTCAGTCCTTCTGTGAAATATTGTTGTTTTTACTGGAGCTGGTTAATTGGAGTTCCTTCTTGAACAAATAGATTCATAAGTTTATTTTGGCTTTTGATATAGTTTTTCTTTTTAAACTTGATAGTAGTTTGCATGAGCTTAGAATTTTACTTTTAATGGTGTAATTATATGTCTTTATTTATTTATTATTTTTAAATGCACTTTCTGTTCTGTAATTATGGGAGTTTATATAATGCTTATATATATATATATATAGGTCTAAAAAATGTCTTAGAAATAGTGAGATACCTAACTCAATCTTACAAAACCAGTTCAAGTAAGGTGAGGATTATATTCACCTATATACTATTATGTTATGACATCTCTAGTCGATATGAGACTTCTCAACAAACACCCTTACATCGAGGATTATTTTTTCATCACACCACTTTACATCAAAGAGGATTTTCATCACACCCCCTTATATCGACGAAGATTTTTTTTTTTCATTACACCCCGTCATATTGAAAAGGATTTTTTTATCATACTTCCTCCTATGGAGGATGAGTGGTCCAATATTGGTTCAATAACAGGTGGTTTAGACTATAACCATTAACGGATAATGTCTCAATTTCGCTACAGTTGACTCAGATACCATCTTAGAAAATATAAACTGAAATATATTCATTCTCTATTACAAATACAATATGAACAACCTATTTATAAAACACAAAATTGTGCAAATATGTGCACCAATTAGGTTATTAAAAAAACTAGAATATTTTTCAACTATACCAATTCTAACCAGATATCACAAAATTTGTATAATAATATCATACAAAAAAATAAAAACAAAGTAAATCTCAACACTTCTTCTTGTTGGTGCATATAAATCCCATATGCCTAACTTGAAAAAATAGTTTAAGAATACTTTATTTGAGATAACATTTGTTAAGATATTAACTAATTGATCTTCTGAGCGAATTATTGGCAATTATACAATTATTTTTTCTAACTTCTCCTTCATAAAGAATCTATCCACTTCAACATGTTTTATTCAATCATGTTGTACCGAATTATGAGCAATATCACAAGTAGTTTTATTGTCACAATATAATTTAATAGGTTTGTGGATAAATATCCAAGATCTTGCAAGAGAAATCTTAGCCATAAACATTCATAAAATTTCAAGTGTCAAACTTCTAAACTCAACATTAAAATCCTTTGCGAGAAAAAGTTAGGGTTTTGTGTTTTGGGTCTCACTCATGGGAGGAGGATTTTTCATCACACGCCCTCATTCGAGGATGACTGATCCAATATTGGTTCAATAATAGGTGGTTTAGTCCACAACCATTAACGGATAGTGTCTCAATATTACTAGAGTTGATTCTGATAACATCTTAAAAATGGTGAGATACCTAACTCAACCCTACAAAACCGATTTGTTAAGATGAGGATTATACTCACTTATATACTATTATGTTATCATATCTCTAGTCGATGTGAGATTTCTTAACAAAATGTTTGTGTATAACTGCGCCATTATGTACTAGTTTTTGGAGAAAAGTTGATCTTATCTAAAGTTTGGTATCAATTCATCCCATGAACCCATGAACCAAACTTATAAGCATGAGTCTTGGAGCCTAAGATGTCGAGATTGTGGATCATGGGTCCCCCAACCTTAACCTCTCTTAAACATGTCTCCACAGTCCCAATAAGTGGTAACTGCACAAAACTAACCTAAAAGTCAGGGACAACGATCACCGGAACCTTGATACCCATGGACCATGATAGATGAGATAACTGAATACTAACATACAAAATCTATAAATAGACCCTTAACTCGCTACTAAAAAGCAGAAAATACTGTCTAATGTGCTAGAAGAGAACCTGGAAATCTCATCCAAGGTCTCTTTGCTAGAACCATAACATTATTATGAGTCAAAGGAACATAGTATTTCGCCAAATATTTTACTTTAGAAGCTGGGCCAGAACTCGCTTAGATGTGGTGAATCTACTGTATATTTTTCTGAAAATGATGTCTATATGTATAAAAGTACCAGTGAGTGTAATTACAGTGAATAATAAAAACCGAAAAAAAGATAAACCAGGGTATTCAAGAGATCCTGTACTCTATGTCATTGTCCTCTACTTATTTCCTGCCCCTTTTTTCTCCGTATCCCCATTCTTATAGGCATATGAGTCAAAGTTTACCTCTCTTGTGATCTTCTACATTAAGCATTTGACTCTCTTTGTATAAATAAACTTTAGTAATATGTGTTATTTCTTAACAAAGACCAACTGATTGAAAGGAGCTAGCTTAGGTAAATAGGAGGATTACCATGGGATTAGGACTCAGTTCTGTAGACAATAGAATTATATTCTGTTACTAAAGGGACAAGGGGGTTGGTTAGAGTCAGCTAAGAGTTGCGAGAAGAAAGTTGGACTTGGAAGGGAGAGAATAAACTGCCTGGGAGTTAGAGAGGGAGACGGTCCACATTGCATCATTCTGTATCTCTGGTTTTGCTGCACACTGATACTGATCGAAGTGGTTTCTATAATAAATATTTATTGTTCTACCTATTCCTAATCTGGATTTATCACTACATATTAGTTAAAAAACTGCTAATTTAGGTTGATGATATCTACTTTATTAATTTTCTTTCTATGCATCACTTTTTAGTGTTTTTTTTTTTTTTTTGCAGAGAATTTTAAAGCGCCCATTGAACTTGTTGGCAATGGCAGTAGGACTTAAGCAGAAAGAAATTGTCAGCAAAATTGTTGAAAAGGTTATTATTACTTCACGTATATAATTGGAGTTTTGATTATGAACTCTTTATATCTGCTGACTCATTGCTGATGGCAGTTCTTGTCAAGTGAATTTGTTGTGATGCTTTTTCACTATGATGGTTTTGTGGATGGATGGAAGAGTTTGGCTTGGAGTAAACATGCCATACATGTATCTGCTATCAATCAAACAAAATGGTATAAAAAGATCAAGTAAATTCGTTTTCTCTAGTTGTAATAATCTTTTCTGAAGATTAAATTCATGGGTAAATAGAGTGAAATATGCTATATCATGACATAGGTGGTTTGCGAAACGGTTTTTGCATCCAGACATAATTGCTGAATACAATTATATATTTCTTTGGGATGAGGACCTTCTTGTTGATAATTTTGATCCAAAAAGGTGAGTGTTTTTTGCTTCTTTTTATAAAGTTTATCCGGGGGAGTAGGATGATACTAAATTTAGAGATCTTGGTTGATTATATTAGATGATAAGTGGTAAATTTTTCTTTTTTTAGTCTATGGTGATTATTTAATCCTTATGTAGGACTTGTTGATCATTTGGTAGGTATTTATCTATTGTTAAAGAAGAGGGTCTTGAGATATCACAGCCAGCTCTGGATCCTACAAAATCTGAGGTTCATCATCCACTGACAGTCCATAAAGCGGGATCAAAAGTGCACAGGTTGACTTGATTTCCCCATCCTTTTGCTATAAACAGTGTTCCACTGGAAAAATCGCACCTTTATTAAAATCATAGCCAACATGGTACTCTATTAATGATCTAAAATATTGTGTAGCTCCTTGTCTTTTTGGGGGTTACATTTCAAAATATATGTGCATACTCAGAGACACACAGCATCTTCGTAAAGTGTACTACAGTGAAAAAATGTGCCCTAACGAAAACTTAGCCTTGCTATTTATGTTACCAATGTATATGGACAAAGTTGTCCTTATATAGAGTACCTTTCAAAGAAATACTTTGGGCTCATGACCTTCCTATAAGCCTTTTTTTTTTATCAAATTCATAAAATAACTTGTCAAAGTAAACCTTTTAAAGCTTATTTCAGTAAATTTCATAGTTGAGCTTTTGAATAAGTTCTCATATATATGATAAAACTTATTTGACTTAATTAAGTTGTTTACTCAAACACTGCCTTAATTGAGTATGCACCTACAATTATTGCAACATAGCTGTTGAAAACTGTCTTTAATGTTACCTTTGAAGGGACTCACCAGAAAGGCCAAGTGGAGTGTCATAGTGTTGGAGCCCCCAGGACGTAGGCTCTTAGAAAGTTGAGATCCTATATTAATTAGAGATATGAATAATGCAGCCCTTACAAGGGCTGAGGAATTCAGACTTTAGAAACCGGTTTTGGGAATTGTGTTCGATCCTGATACTGTATTAATGAAATGGAATATTCCACAGTTCCTAGTCAATCTACAGGTTATATATATTTCACAATTTATGGCTGCCTCTTAGATATCATCTCTGTAAAGTGTGCTAGTGTGGAAAACATATTGGACAAAGTTTACCCTGTTATTTATAGTTCATGAATGTGTACTTAAACTGTCTATTTTTAATTGATTACACACCTGCAGTGCTTTCTCTCATAAATGAATTGATTTGCTGTTCCTTAGGTTGTATTCCCGTGCCTACATTCTACTGGGGATTTTTGCCGAAAAAATTGCTAATATTATTTTTGCTGTTATGCCTATACAGAAGGTATTATAAATTAAGAGGCAGTGGAAGGTGTGATGACAATAGCATCGCTCCTCCTTGCATTGGGTAAATAGCTGCACACTGTGTCTTGTAGTGTTTTCTTCTCAGTTGTTAACTCACCCTTCTTATTCTTGCTATTAAAGAGAATTCAGAATTTAATTGGAAAGAATTCGTTTTGCAGCTGGGTGGAAATGATGGCACCGGTGTTTTCCAAAAAGTCTTGGCAATGTGTATGGCATTTAATCCAGGTATGGATACTAAAACGAAGTAAATTTGGTACTGAATCTTACCGTTAAGATTATTAAGAACTTTTTATTGTTGGGAACATTATATGACATGATACCACAGATTTTTTAATTATTTTAAAAACTATCCAACTTTATATATAGTGGGAAATTTACTGCTATTATTTTGTTTAGTAGTGCTTATTCTATCTTCGAATTCAGCATGCTTTCTTCTTTTACCTTCATATATTCATATTCATGCATTTGTCTTTCAATCTACAGAATGACTTAATCCATGCCTGGGGCCTGGATAGACAGCTCGGCTATTGTGCTCAGGTAACTTGCTTGGTCCACAACAGCATATCCATATCATACCAAATCCTTCCAGTGTGGTTTTCATTCATCTCTCAACCATATTTCAGGGTGATCGAATGAAAAATGTTGGTGTTGTTGATTCTGAGTACATAGTTCATCTGGGTCTGCCTACTCTTGGGGGACCAAATGGCAATGAGGCAAGTGATTTCATTCTACACGTAGTGTAATTTGATGATAACAGCCGCACACTTTTCTACCTTGTTTGAATTTAAGCAAATTTATCAGTAAATTTCCCCTAGTTAAAAAGATTTGTATGCTTGTAGTTTTGGATCTGAAGATATATTTCAAGAAATAATATATCTATTCACTCTATCAATAATCGAGCTGAATCTGGTGTATCATAAGAAATTTTATTTTTCTATTGGTTGCTTCGTATTGGATAAAAACATTTATTGAATGAGTTTACGAATTTCATGATGAATGGAAAAAACACTTTTTTTCTTCTACCTCCTCTTTTTTATCAAGAGAATGAATTTGTTTATCAAATGATCATAAAAAAATGGGTTCAGACCTCTTTTGGGAATAATTTGAAAGATTCAAAACCTAAACTACTTTTAGTTCCAGTTGACAACATATAAACCTATAACATTTTTTAATTAAATCTTATTTGTTTGCTCGTCCAGGTGTATTGTGGTTAGATTTTACTGTCAGTCTAATAATTAATAAGGGTTTTGTCCTTTGGATTGCAGGCACCATCAGACTCCCCTGGAGATAATAATGCTAGAGCCAAAGTAAGTAAAATACTTGTATAAGAGGATAATGTAGATTTTATGGACCTTTAGCTCCATTTGCCGCCCATATTTTACAAAGCAATATGCTATATGCAGGTTAGGATGCAGTCATACATTGAAATGCAGATTTTCGGTAAAAGATGGAAAGATGCAGCAAAGAAAGACAAATGTTGGATTGATCCATATGAACAACAGGCAAACCTGACAAACCATTAGTGTATTTGTTAGGCATTAACTGATTAAAGGCCAAGTCCAGTGTCCATGTTCATAGTCAGCTTTTCAAACTGATTAAAATCCAATTTTTGTTTCTAGTCACAGTTGGAGTTTTTGACTTCATATATCAGGTGTGGGATCTCTCCTAAGAGTTTGCAGGACATTTCACCCTTTACCATTATTCTACCTAAGCCATTCATTTCCTTTGTATATAGGGTGTGGTATAGAGGTGTTCATATGGCATAATTTTACCCTTTTTTTTTTTTCAGGAGGGTCAATGTAAATTTGTGGCTTCAAACCTTATTCTTTCAGTAGTATACCTTTGCCTATCTTTGCTGTCATTGGATAAATTTTTTCAATTGGGTCTATGTTTACATTTTAAAATTTTGGACATCAAACTAGTCTTTTTTAAAGATTATTTCTTTTTACGTCCTAAAAAACGAGGTTGGGGTTTCGGAATTCGGGATACAACTTGACTATTATCTTTAAGACAACTAGGATTTTTAATATATCTTTTTTATTATTTTCATGTTATTATTTAATGAAATATTCAGTGGTCAATTAACGCCTTAAGTTGGCCCAGAAATTAGTTAAGAAAAAAATAAAATTATGATCTAGATCTATTTTGATCAGATGTAGATTTATGAGTCCATTTATTTTATAAAATAATAATTATTTTATAAAATAAAAATAATATTATTTTATTAAAAATATATATTATTATAAATTAATTTAATAAAGATTTACTTATTATAAAAGTAAATATTAAAATAAATTTTTAATAATTATTTATTTCAATGAAGATTTTTTTTATAATTTAAATATTAAATTATTATATCTTAAATAAAAATTAATTTTATTAATAAAATATAAAATTTTACAATATATTTTATTTAATCTATTTTTTAAATTAATTAATTTTATATAAATATATTAATATATAATTTTTAATTTCGCAGGTTAAATTAAAATTTACAATTCATTTTAAAAATTAAGTCAGATTAAACCATTGAATTGTTTTACTTAATAAGTAAAGTTATATCAATTTGGACCGAGCTACCGTTTTGATTGTTTTAGAAATATTTATCACATTTTTTTTATTTATTTTGTTAACTCTATTCTTAATTTCTCTAAAATATAAATTAAATAGATAAATTTAATTATCAAATTATTTTATTTCTTTCATATTAAAAAATATCTTTTTCTCCCCTATAGTTTTTAATCATTCGTTTTTCACAAATTTTCTTATGTCTAATGAATTATTTTACTTATAATAATATTTATATTTTAAAATTAATATATATTAAATTTTAATTCATTAAAATATAAAATAAGAATTTTTTTTATTTTATGAAAAAGTATTCGTGAATCTTACGTGTTATAGTTTATTTATTTTTGTATATAAGTAAAACTTAAATTTTTTTTAATCATACTTTAATAAAAAAAATCATTTAATATATGTATGGAGAGAGGATGAAGAGAAACAAACTCAATTTCTTTTATTAGATTTTTTTTTTTACTATTTTTAACTTCAAAAATTAAAAATATTTTTGTTATTCATAATAAAAATAATCAATCTTATATTTTATTTTATTATATATATATATATATATATATATATATATATATATATATATATATATATATAGCATACAATTTGTTCTACTTTGATAAAAAATATTTATTTGTTATATTTTTCATATTTTCTTTATTTAAAAGATAAGAACTTCGATTAATTACTTTAATTAGAAAGGAGAATTTCATAAAATATATATGTATATTAAGTAAAAAAATATTTTTTAATAAAAATTTATTAAGTTCATATAATATAGATTTATTTATTTTACATATTTTATCATACATAAATTTAAAATAAATTATTTTAATATTAATGTTTTTCCTTTCATAAAAAAACTATTCAACTTTTTGTCCTTATGGTTAAAAATGATTTATCAAGAAAATAGGTAGAATTAATATTACACGTGAAACATAATTGTTTTAATTAGTATTTGTTTTCAAATGCGTGGATTTTATACATTTTAATACATAAAACTTTAAAAATCAATAAAATAATTTATCATTTCTTTTAATGTGAAAATAAAAATAATTAATTATGTTCTTGAGTATATAATATTTAGTTAGATAATTGATTATATATAAAAATATAATTAATTATGATAAAAAGATTGCAATTAACATTTTTTTCATTTTTATATTATTATAATAATAAATAATTAAATTTTTTATTAAAATAACAAATCAAATTAGTAATAATAAATAAAATTATTTTATTTTTCTTTTCATTTCACTATTCACTTTTTTTTTTTCTTACTTCTCTTCAATCCAAACATCCCTAAATGTTAAGAATTGTGTTGCAAGATGTAAAAGGGTTAGCTAGGGTTTAACACAGCGTTGGTGAGGGAGTGAAAGAAACACGTAACCCCAATTCACCGTATCAAGATGTCGCTCTACCGCCTCCTTCTACGCCGCGTCTCCTCCACCGCCGCTGCCCGCCCCATCTTCTCTCTTGCCCAAACCCGTTCCTATGCTTTCTCCTCCGCTGAGGAAGCTGCGGCTGAGCGCCGGCGACGGAAGCGGCGTCTGCGCATCGAGCCTCCCCTCAACGCGATTCGTCCTCCGCCGCAGGGCCCTCCACGCGACCCGAACGCGCCTCGCCTCCCGGATTCCACTTCGGCGTTGGTGGGCCCCCGGTTGAGCCTCCACAACCGCGTGCAGTCCCTCATCCGCGCGGGCGACCTCGAGGCGGCTTCCGCCACCGCCCGGCACGCGGTGTTCTCGGTGACGCGGCCAACCGTTTTCACCTGCAACGCCATCATCGCTGCCATGTACCGGTCGAAGCGGTACGAGGAGGCCATTGCCCTCTTCCATTTCTTCTTCAAGCAATTCAACATCGTCCCCAACATCGTCTCTTACAACAACGTGATCAACACCCACTGCGACGAGGGTCGTGTTGACGTGGCCCTTGAAGTCTATCGTCACATTCTGGCCAACGCTCCTTTCAGTCCCTCTCCCGTCACCTATCGTCATCTCACCAAAGGTTTGATCCAAGCCGGTCGCATTTCCGAAGCCGTCGACCTCTTGCGCGAGATGCTCACCAAGGGCCACGGCGCCGATTCTCTCGTTTACAACAATCTCATTTCGGGCTTTCTCGAACTCGAGAATTTGGAGAAGGCCAATGAACTTTTCGACGAGCTTAAGGAGAGGTGCCTGGTTTATGATGGGGTCGTGAATGCCACTTTTATGGAATGGTTCTTCCAAAAAGGGAGGGATAAGGAGGCCATGGAGTCCTACAAGTCCTTGCTGGAGCGCCAGTTCAGGATGACCCCTGCCACTTGCAATGTTTTGTTGGAGTGTTTGCTCAAGCATTCCAGGAAAACTGAGGCTTTGGCCTTGTTTGATCAGATGCTCGACAATCACACCCCTCCCAATTTCCAAGCTGTTAACTCTGATACCTTCAATGTAATGGTTAATGAGTGCTTTAAGCTTGGAAACTTTGAGGAGGCCCTTGCAACTTTTAAGAAGGTTGGAACTAAGCCTAATTCTAAGCCCTTTGCCATGGATGTTGCCGGCTACAATAATATCATTGCTAGGTTTTGTGAGAATGGGATGCTCTCCCAAGCCGAGACCCTGTTTGAAGAACTGTGCTCCAAGTCTTTGAGCCCCGATGTGCCTACTCACAGAACTTTGATTGAAGCCTACTTGAAAATGGAGAGGATCGATGATGCCCTCAGGGTATTCAACAGAATGGTGGATGCCGGTCTTAGGGTAGTTGCTAGCTTTGGTAATACGGTGTTTGATGAATTGATTAAGAATGGTAAGGCTATTGATTGTGCTCAAATTTTGAGTAAAATGGGAGAGAAGGATCCCAAACCAGACCCCACTTGCTACGAGGTTGTAATCAAGGGACTCTGTGCGCATGGCTTGTTGGACAAAAGCCTAGAGCTGCTGGATGAGGTTATGAGGTATGGTGTTGGGGTCACTTCTGCCTTGCGGGAATCTGTTACTGAGGTTTTTAAGACAGCCGGGAGAGGTGACGAGATTGAAAGGCTGCTAGATATCAACAGATTTGTATACACTCCTCGTCCATCCCCTCCAAGACCTGCTTATCGTCCGCCACCGGTCAGGTCCCCCTCGCAAATGGCAGGGGTACCACATAACCCACATTCTGGCCCTCACACCACCACACATATGGCAGCTCAGCTACACCCACCACCACCTTTTCAAATGGCAGGAGCAACAAATAACCCACCTTTTGGGTTTCCAACACAAATGGCAGCACAGCAGCGTCCAACACCTCCTTCTCCTCAAATGACAGGAACACATTATCCTCCTTCTCAAATGGCCGGAGCACCACATAACCCACCTTCGGGGGCTCCACATCAAGTGTTGGGGCATCAACGCCCGCCAATGAATCAACCTTCGTGGGGAGTTTCTCCTCCAATGACTGGGCCTCGTACTACAGCAGCTGGACCTTCACCTCATATGCCAAGACAGCCGTACCACCCTACTACATCTGAATTTCCTCCCCAAACGAACAGGGTACAGCAGCATTATACACCGTCTGGACCTTCACCCCAAATGGCAGGATATCAGCCTTATGGAACACCACATGGGCCCCAACAAATGTCAGAACGACGATATCCCTCGTCAGGATTGTCCCCTCCAATGGCAGGACAATATCATCCCCCAGCTGAACCAACTCCTTCAATGTCAGGGTCATCTATTCCTTCATATGGAGCATCACCTAATATGTCACCGCCGCACCATATTCCCCTAGGACCATCTTCTCAGGTGACTGGACCATATCACCCATCATCAGGAGTAGGTTCTCACTTTGAGGAATCACATCAACAGCAATCGGAAGTCCCTGAACAGGTAGCAGCTTAATATTTGGACTTCAAGTCAATTCTTAGATTCACCAAAAAAAAAAGCCAATTCTTAGTGCTACTGGATCTCTTCTTAATTGAGGGAAGAGTTGCTCTATCATTTCCATATCTCATGTTTCTTTTGACACCGATTTCTGCTGTTCAAAATCACTAGGTATTTGTGAGTTTATAGATGACGATACAAGAATCTACGTCGACTTATTTATCTGTGGCATGTAATCCTGTCTTGTATGGCATGTCAACCTTTAATATCAGGCCTTGATATCTATATTTTTGCATTGCCAATGATATTCTTCTACATTTAACCCGAAAGAGATGTTAAGTTTTTTGCCTTATATCCTATGTACTGAATGTCTATATTTAGATTATGTTACCTTTAAGCTTAAGCTGTATTTGGAAAAAGAATTTGAGGGAGGTAGTGTATATTATTTTAAGAGAATTATGATAAAACATCTTGTTAAGATATTAAATGCAAGAGTTATAAAGTTACCAGCATTTTAATCAATATTTCATAAGAATTAGAAATCAATTCTAACAAGGTGGAATTTTGAAAGGCTGTAACCTCTCTCGGTTACTCTCACTGCTTCAATCAGTGACTCCTTCAGTAGAAACAATAGCAATTTTTAACACAAGCTCATAAAAAATGCTGTTGATACCGCCATTTGTTATTGGCTCATTAGATCTTGTTTCTCTATAAGTTTAGACAAAGTTGAATTGATCCATTATTCTAGTTAAAAGTTTCATTTCTTAATGGAGAACTACAAATTTGTAAGGCTCTAAAGTCCCTCTAAGGCAGTTCTGATGCAGATCGTATGCACATGGATTATTAAATGCATGTAGGACATATCTTGACCCTTTAGCATAAGGATAAGCGTGACAGGGGGTAATTGTATGTGTCTGAAGCGACATATTTTTCAGAAAGTTGGAATCGTACTTAAAATAAATATTGCTTTACCTCTGGACTTGTTTTGTAAACAGCTGTTGGATCTCATCGTCATTTAATTTTATGATTCTTGGCTCTGTTTGGAAGACCTGGGCAGAATACAAAACTTTCCAAGCACTTGCTTCTACCTATGGTATATATAATATAATATAATATAATATATATGCTAATTCTCAGTTTCCTGCTGCGCTCAAGGAAGTGAAGATGCTGTCATTTTCCCCAATATCGACTTCCTGAGATTTGTTTGATCTATAAATAAGATGGGGAGTTTTCAACTTGAAGACATGCAAGGCCAAAAGTCGAAATATTTGCTTTCAATGTGGTTTAAGACTATGGAAGAGATATTCTAAAATCCATATTAACTGTCAAACTTCACTTAGGATTTTCTCAAAGTGAATAAATGATTAGGTTTGTTTCGTACATTTCCATGACAGGATATGCACTGTATAAATATTTTTTGTACTCATGGGCATGTACGAATTTGGTATTACATTTTTTAATCAATTTTCTATATTGATTTTACTTGGACATTGAGTATGCAAATTAAGAGATTCCATCACCCATTAGGAAACCATGTGCTCGGCAGCATACTACCTTTCTGCTCTGGGTCCTGTTAAATCTTGATCCCTGGTTATCAGTGTATATCGTGCGTGCAGGTCCTTGCACATTGTCTTACTTAACTTCCTTCCAATCAACAATGGAAAAGGCCTTTCAAAATTATATCATGAGTATTGATGCTTCCAAAGTATATGGTTGTTTTGTACTTGCTCGAAAGTGATAGTTAGAATACAGAAAAGCCGTACCTGTTGCAATCCAGAATTCAACACAGATTAACAAGATTCTGATAATGATAAAGCTGACCATGCCCGAGTGTACTATCATTGCTCAGGTCCCAGGAGATTAAGCTGTCGAAGCAGTTAAGAGTAGTGACTAAGATGAACAACTGGGTATAATATTCTTGTTTTTCATCCTATTCTGGTTAAACTACGTCGATTTTCCTTAAATAAGAATTCATATAATATTTGCTTATTAGGCAGTTTTTTTTTTCTTTTTGTATGAAAAATATATATGAAGTTTGTGTCAAGGATAACAAATTTACTAACGAAGCCATTATTATCAAGGTATATATATATATTAAGGTGATATATCAAGTTTCCTATTCCAACTTCTCCGCAGCATTATAAAGTTGATAAAATTAAACAATCTTGCCGTAAAATAGCATTTAAGAGTAAAATTGTACAGTTAAACAAAACTCACCAGCTAAAATTTTATCCATAATGCACCTAAATCACCAAATTACCAAAATACGAAAGGGTTTACCATATTTCCCTATTTTTTTTTTAGTCTTTAAATTTTGACTGTTCAAAATTCCAAAACACTTTTTTCTCTATTCAATTTTTTAGTCCTTGCTGCCAAATAGTGTTAACTAATAACATAATCACGTTGTAAATTCAATTACTTATCATGGAATTTGACTGATAATCAAATGATTTATTTTTTTAAAACTATACCATTAGACTTGTTGATAAATTAACATCACTGCTGCATTATTTATTAATGTTATCATTTGATAACTTGGACTAAAAAGTTAAAATAGAGAACAAAAAAAATCAAGAACATTGACCAGCAAAAATTTAGATTAGGGACTAAAATCGTAGATCCGAACAATTTTAGAAAATAAATCTAGAAAAATAAGCTACTCTTATTATTGATCAACCTCATATGTTGAAACCCTATTTATTTAATAAATCACCGTTTTAGTCTCTCAAGTATTACCCTTCCAGAAAAATCTTTGAAGATATGAATATGTACAAGTGATCCTTAATAAAGTGAATATTCATCAATTTTCTTTTCATGTTGATTTATCTTTTTAACATTGAGGAACTAAATTAAGGATTTTCAATACTTTTTTCAAAGGAAGGATTTTTCAACACTTCAAAACTATGTAATATAAATTTTAATACTTTAGGAAGTACTCGTATACTTCCATTACTTTAGAGATAGAGTGTAATGCTACAGGTGACAGAGATCCATTTTATTTTAGGACACCTATGCCGTACTACACAGTCTGTACTGAAAATTGAAGATTTGGAGAAAGTTTGTATCTATTGCCAATTAATGTGAAGCACAAGGAATTAAGACAACGGGGGATAAAATTTCTATATTGATGAATTCCTTCTTCGAAGGAATGAAATGCATTTTGTGCAACAATTTGCTATCACTAGCAGATAACACAAAAATCTCTAACAACCTGTACAGCTATTACAATGCAAAATGATTATGTAAGAACTACCAAAATCTAGAGATGGAGAACATAAGTTAAATATCTCATCTCTTGTGTGTACACTAAAAGAAATAGTTCAAAAGTTCATAACTTGGGAAGAAATGTTAAGCAAGGGCTCGAGGGCACTGGGATCAAACTTGCGAGCAAAGAGGTAACAAATGGAAGTCATCTCTGAATTATATCGACAAAGGGATCCTTTGTTCCTTATAGACTGTATAAAATCCACAGTGATATTGTCTCTCCCATAGCTTGCTGGGTGAGGACCCAGCATAGACCAGTCCACCCATGTGACTGTTCTGTTTGAATTAAGAGAACCATGAAACATGTTCAAGAAGGTTGGAATGTAATGCTCATCTGGGTAGCAAGCAGGCTTACAGTATTTTCGGAAGAGGGAATAGTATTTGGTGTCAGAGACTACATACACAGCCAACGCACGATTGAGTTCAAACCACTGAGACCCTTTTCTCCAGTGTCTAAGTTGAATAAGAGGAAGCATATTGCGATTGTAGCGACCGCGGCCATAACGGGTTGGGTCATCGTATGATTCAACAAAGCTGTGGACAGAGTCAGTGAGATATCTGTAAACAGTAGGGAAGTTGTACACTGGGATGCAACTTTCCGAAAGCAGAACAAATCTCTCGTTTGAAAAGTCCAGCAGAGCATTCGCTAAAAGCCGTCTCTCAGCATCTGCCAGTGTAACTGTTCCCCATGAAACATCCTGATCACACATCAAATAAAATCAGACCAAATTCGCAACAATCTGTGGCTACAACAACAACCAGGGAGAGAGAGGGAAATAAACCATATTGGATTCGTAACAGTTTTCAAAAATGCTAGGCTCCCTTTTCTAATCAGGAAATGACAGGCTCCTCATAAACCACAAGATTATATTAAAGAACAAAATCACAGTTAAAATATAATGAAAAAAAAAAAAGAAAAAGACTGAAAATATAGAAGCAGATAGAGTATTGACATGAATCAGTAAACAGAGATGATGAATACAGAAGAGAAAGGTTTGTTGCATGAAAAAGGTGAAGGTACCTGACTGGGGATGTGACGGGCGTAGAAAGGTGAAGATTGGGAAACGTTGAGATGGAATCGGGGAGGGGCATGGATGTAGATGTTGAAGAGAGGGGTGTGGCCGTCGAAGAATCTCTCCCAGAGGGGCAACATGGGAAGGGGACCCCTGGTGATAAACATGAAGGCCACCTTGGGTATTCTCCTGAAAGGGTACCCTTCTTTCTTCGGCATCAAGGAAGCCCTCCAGAAAAGCTCCTCGTCGGAGAGCGTGTGGGTGAGATTGGGCGGATGAAGGAACTCCTCCATGTCCAGAGGAGGAAGAGGAGGAGGAGGAGGAGGAGGAGGAGAGTGTGCGGTGGCGGTACAGTTTGGAATTGGGAGAAAATTGTGACTGAGTTGAGGGTGGTGGAGGGGGATGGGTTGGGATATGAAATTGGTGTTGGTAATGTGAGAGCTGGTGGTGAGACCGATGACGACTCCACCGGCAAACACGACCAGATATGTTAGGATTTGGGCCAATCTGAGCAGCCCCACATGCCTCTCTCCGTCCTCCTTCTCCCTCTCCCTCTGATTCCGACCCATCCGATCAATTTCTCTCACTCACTCACTCCGATCAACACATGCATCGACCATCACCCTCCCCACCGCTTCAACAACCAATCAATCAATCCTCTCCGCTTCTCGACACAATCAATCCCACACACACTCTCTCTCTCTCTCTCTCTTCTCCTCTCTTCTCTCGGTGGATGCGATCGCACTCCAATAATTACTTCCACGACACAACACAACACAACCCAACGTCTCTTTCTCCTTTTTTTTTTTCACCCTTTTCTCAGCCCTACCATCTGCCACCTCATTTCTAACATCATTATTACTCTTTCTATTATTACTAATCTACCCTAATTTCTCATTCTTAAGTAAATTAATTATCCAGTGTCTTCTCTCCTTTAAAATTAAAATTAACTAATACCTATTGCTTATTATATTTGCTTTTGGAATGTGTATAGTTAAAATAAATTATACAATTAAATTAGTTGAACTCATTAAGTGGGTCAGGAGTTATGTCAAAGTGTGTGTGGAATGGACATCAAGGTTGAATACATTTTTCTTTATTGCTGCCACTCCCAATCAACTCATCTTTCTAATATAAAAATCTTAAACCATATATTCTTTATTAAACTATTTACCACACATTTAAATCTCACTGCATAAGATGTTTGTGTAGCAAATAATGGTAAACAGATTATACTTTTATTCCTTAAACTTCTAACGATTGGTAGCTTTGAAACTTTAATGAAGTTTATAATTCTTGAATGAACTTTAAAAAAAGATATCTATTGCACAACTTTATTCACTAAGTGATTTTATTATTTTATCAATCAATTAAGTTGTTAATTGATTATTTAGAATTTGTCTATGATTTTTTTTTTTCCTTTTAAGTACCATTTTTTCAATCAAATTATTTGCTTGGTTAATGGCGCTGAGATGTGTTGTGTACACGTTATCATATTATGAAAATCATAATTTATTTTTTAAAATGAGTTTATAAATTTTAATTTAAACATTTTTTAAATTTAATTTATTTTTTTTACATAATTTAACATTAAAATAGAATATCATCAAATATTAAAATAATTAATTAATCTATGATAAATAAAAAGTTTTTATTAATATTTTATATTTTTATACTATATTATATACATTAATTTGTTATAGTAATGTACTTCAAAATATTGTGAGATATTTTTTACTTTTTATCTTTCTCTTAATGTGAATAAAAAGGGAAAAAATAAAGAATAATTTTACAGGTACAGAGGTGACAAATTTTGAAAATATAAAAAGAAAAATTGTAATTTTTATGATATTAGGTGAAACAATCAAAAAGAAAACTATGGAAATAAATGAATAGTAAAGAAAAAAAATAAAAAGGTGAGTGTTTGTTAAAAAAATTGCAGGAAAATAAAAAGATGATAGAGGAAAAGAAAGAAAAAGTGAAAAATTGTATTAAATAATAAAAATAATATTTATTATGAGTGAAAATGTGGGAAAGAAAAAGATAAAAAATTAAATTTTATTTAATTTTTAAAATTAATCACTGTATATACAATGGATAATGTACCTTTTTAATTATATATAAATGTATTTATGATACTTATGAAGTGATTATGTATTTTTTTGTTGTAAATATTTATTACATGGATGGTTTGCCTAAATTTGGATTGTTATATGGAAGTCAAATATAATGGTCATTAAGGAAGGAAGTATAATAAATATTTATATCTTAGTAAAAAATTTGAGTATTTTCAACTTATTTATTTTTTGTGACGAGAGACATATCTAAAGTCATCGTCCTCCTACTAGAAAAATCAATTATTTTTCTAGAATTAACTCATTATTTCCTATGTGAGGCACATTATCTTCCTATATGGTTAGTAATGGGATAGATCAATATGCCTCTTGAAAAGAATTCATGATCCACCAGAGTCATTTCATGTTAACATTTTCTTTTATACTGTATTCATATTCATTAATAGTAGAATAAAATATAGACATTATTTTTTCTTTTAAAAAATAAACTTACAAAAAATTGTCATGGTAATTATTTGTGCGAATGAAATTAGTAAAATTATTTATTCAATAATATAATATAATATAATATATAAGTTTAAATTGTAAATAAAAGTATGTACTTTAAATAAGTACAATATTGTTTTGTATTTTTTGTCTTGATTTTGTCTTGATGAAATAATAAGGTATATTGGTGGAATTTTAAGAAGGTATATGTTTTATCTAAAAACGAAAGTGTTCTAGTTCACTATGATAATATCGTTAGGCTAAATTCTCATGTCTGAGATATTGTTTGCTTTGAAACTCTCGTGCATCACAATTAAGAGAAGATGATGTATATAAAATATCTTTATTCTCGACTCCTAAGCGATGTGAGACTTGTGAGTGTATCAGAACATAAACCTCCAACCGAGGATTAATGAGTATGAGTGGAGCGAGACTCTACTCTCGAACTCACGATGAACACCAATGTTCCGTCTAAGAACGAGAATATCCTGATGTTAGGTAAAATTAATAATATGTTAATTAGTTTTAAAGGTTTATTATAACGTTTTGAGATTGTTGACGTTTTGGATGATTATTGTTTTAATTCCTAATTATGGTAGAACGTTGTGGATCGTAGGGAGTTAATATTTTGGTTTCTAGAGAGTTAATATTAGGAGTTCTTGGGAGTGTTTAAATCACTAGTGGAAAAATAGCATTCTATGATGAGTTTTTATCACGGTCGTAGTCCACCCGTCATGGTATGTAGCGCAGTGACAATTTTGTAATAAAATCATAAACTTTCTATGTCGGGTAAATTTTAACCGACATAGTAAGTGGAAAGTTCACTTTCTATGTCGGGTAAGATTTAACCGACATAGAAAGTGAACTTTCTATGTCGGTTAAAATTTACCCGACATAGAAAGTGTATTTGATGACGGGTGTTAGGGCAACCGACATAGTATCTTCTATTTTACCCTGCTGCAACGCTCCATTTCATCACTTCACCCATAGCAGAGCTCCCCGTTCTCTCTGTCTCTTCTACGAACGTCATCGCCTGTGTACGTTTCTCCCCACCCAGCTTTGCTCGTCACGCCACCTGCCAACTCTGTACGTCGTGTCGCCTGCTGCTACTGTCGTTGGTGCCCATCGCCTGTGTACGTTTCTCCCCACCCAGCTCTGCACGTCACGCCACCTGCCACCTCTGTAGGTCTTCAAGAGGTAAGTTTTTGTGCTTGCTTTAGCCATTGTAGGTTTATAGTTTTGAATCTGGTAAGTAATAATGTTGTCAAGAGAGGGAAAGATCACAGGTGCTTTTAGCTAATTTAGAGATGTATTGTAAGTAGTTTAGTCATTTGAATGTGTTTCTGTAGGCATTCTTTCGTGATTTTGATTTTGAAAATTAGATTTGTATTATAATGTAGTTATTTCATTTTAAGTGAAAACTATCATCGCTTATGCTCACCCTAATGTGAGACAATACGGTTAGCCTTGATTGGAGTCAGTCATGAAATGATCCATTGTAGAACAGAACTTTCTATTGAAAGATTAAAATATCCAATCACGTGACATCGCAATTTCAGCAGAATATGTTGGATGTTATCATCCTCAAACTATACTTATATGTTGTGTTATGTGACAGAAGGTAACAATGAATCGGAGTTTGATCAATTATAGACGAACAACAAATGAATATGAGAGTGGAGTAGAACAATTCCTTGAATTTGCTAAGATGAATGTTCCGGATAATGATGGAAGATTCTATTGCCCTTGTGTTAACTGCTTGAATGAGCGAAGATTACCGATCGAAGTTATTCGGGAACATGTTCTTTGTGATGGTTTCCTAAAGAGTTACATAAAGTGGACATGGCATGGTGAATTATTAAACATGCCAAGTGTAGAAGACAAAGAAGAAGTTGATCTAGAGATGGATGATCGAGCTGGAGGAAATGATTCGTGAGCTTGGACAAGATGCCTTCCAACATACACATGTGTACGAGAAGTTGTCCAATGATGCAAAAAAGCCTTTGTATACAAATTGTACTAAGTTCACACGATTGTCGGCGGTACTAAAATTGTTCAATGTGAAGGCAAAGAATGGGTGGACTGATAAAAGTTTCACGGAATTGCTTGAGTTGTTGAGTGACATGCTCCCCGAAGGTAACACATTGCCAACCCGCAATTATGATGCTAAGAAGATATTGTGTCCAATGGGTATGGAGTACCAAAAAATTCATGCATGTCCTAATGATTGTGTGTTGTACAGGAAAGAATTTGAGAACTTTCACGAATGTCCACAATGTGGGGAATCACGATACAAGAAGAAGGATGGTGATTCTGACAATGATGTAATGAAGGGTACCCCGACAAAAGTGTTATGGTATCTTCCCATTGTTCCAAGGTTGAAACGATTATTCACTAATGGAAATGATGCAAAGCTCACTAGATGGCATGCGAGATAGTCGTATTAAAGATGGTCGAGTTGAGGCATCCAGCAGATGGATTGCAATGGAAAAAAATTGATTCCATCTTCCAGAATTTTGGTAATGATCCAAGAAACATTAGGTTTGGACTTGCTACGAGATGGAATGAATCCATATGGAAATTTAAGCGATAAACATAGTTCATGGCCTGTGGTGTTAGTTATTTACAACTTACCTCCGTGGTTGTGTATGAAACGTAAGTACTTGATGCTATCTTTGATGATCTCGGGTCCCAGACAACCTGGAAATGACATTGATGTTTTTTTAAGCCCATTGGTTGAAGAGTTGAAGATGTTGTGGGAGGAAGGTGTTGATGTGTTTGATGGGTACACAAGTGACTTATTCAAGTTGCGTGCAATGTTATTTTGTACAATTAATGACTTTCCAGCATATGGTAATTTGAGTGGCTACAGCACAAAGGGACATAAAGCTTGCCCGATATGTGAAGAAGACACATGTCACTATCAACTACAACATGGAAGGAAAACAGTGTACCTTGGACACCGAAGATTTCTTCCTTCAAACCATTCATATCGTAAATTAAAAAAA